GCACTTACCTTTTTAATAAACTGCTCACGTGCACCGAAAGGTGCGATCGAGAACCTTTTTATTGAGATCGGATTCGATCCCACGGGCGTCTGTTGAACCATGTCTATAAATTTGTGTTAAATTTGTCACTGCGAAAACACTTCACTCAACTAGAGACACACCGACACAACGTGATTCTTGCGAAACCGGGAGTATTCACTAGCATCAATAATCCAACTGCGTATCATGAAATTTCTGAGGTGCTTATTATCGAAGATACTTTGACAGTCATCAGTAGCTATTATTATTGAACGCTGAAACAAAATTGCAGAAATAAAATAAATAAAATAAAATTACGCTGAAACAAAATCAGAATCTCAACCTAGGTTGGTGATTTAATTTCCCGGAATGGCTTTTGATCATGTAGATGTGATGCAAGAAAACGTGGTTGAAATTAATCACAATTTGATGCGGATACAATTCAAGAAAATGTGTTATTATTTACAAAATAGAATTTTGCATTTCTCTATTCATGAGACGGGGCTTGCGAAGAGTTTATTTACAGAGTATTTGTTAAAGCTTACAGTGTATTTGTCAAGGGCTACAGTGAATTTGTCAAGGTCTACATTGTATTAGTCAAGGTTTACAGTTTATTTGTCAAAGCTTACAGTGTATTTGTCAAGGTCTACAGTGAATTTGCCAAGGTCTCAAGGTGTACATTGTATTTGTCAAGGTTTACAGTTTATTTGTCAAGGTCTACAGTTTATTTGTCAAGGTTTACAGTGTATTTATCAAGGTTTACAGTGTATTTGTCAAGGTTAACAGTTTGTCAAGGCTCTCGGTTCAATTGCGTCAAGAACAGCCGACGTAAAGCCTGAGGATGCAACCCTGCAGCACGGGGCACAGGCATGCGCGCTGAGAAGGAGGGCTCGGTGGCCCGCAACTCCAAGTGTCCAAGGTCACCACACCACAACACCAGACAACGCGACGCTCTACCATGGCGGCTCATCCTTTAGTTCTAAACTTCTAACAGGCACGTTCAGGTAGGAATCTATTACAAAGTATGGTCTGTAAATATTACACAACACTATATCTTATCATTTTTGTGTGACTTATCTTGTTATTTGAAATGGTACTATTATGAAGGCATACATTTGACATTGTAATTGATTCGTTAAATCCAATGGTTCACGAGTTGTTATTAACATTTCGACTGATGGCTGCGGCAGGAAATTGAGGAGCGAAGGAAAGTGTTTGTCAGCCACGATTTTTAAGAACGAACGTTTCATGACAACAATTTTATAATAAACCGAACGTACATCGATAAAAATTTCAAGAAAAGTCTTTATTGACGCATGAATTCTAAATTATTCACCAAAGTTTACGAGGTCTCCCGAAAATAGCAGGTATGCATTGATTTAAATAAAAAAAATTAATCGCATATTTTTGTTACAAGATCTTCAAGTTATTTTATCAGGAACTATACAACGACAGTGGGAAATCGACGATTCTCATAGGCAGGCTCATAACACGGAATGTCGATTAATTTCAAAACTACAGCCTCAGCCAGACAAAATTTCGCATATTAACGATGCACTTATAAGGATGTGACTTATCTGGTATACTAACAGAGTCATTTACCATAGAAAAACTTAGTCAAGTTGTCATTGTGAATGCGGAAACACTTCAGCCCAAGACTAAATCTTTTTATCACATGAGTCCGATGCTAGATTTGACTTAAATTGAGGTTGTACACAAGCATAACAAATAATTTTTTGATCACACAGGTTCTCGGAACTTCTGCTACCGTAGTGCATTCAGTGATAAGTGTCAAGTGATAAAAGTGATGTCGAAAATTGTATGTTCAACTGTCTCGACACATTCAATGTTAGTACAAAATAATTTGGCATGCAGGTATCAATTATTTATGTATCCTCGTGCAAATAAAAACTGGGATGTACTCATGAGATGGAAACGAAAATGTGTCGATTAAACTCGAGCAATAAATAGGCTTGTGACCCCAGAGATGAGACGGAACTTAGGAGCCTGCGGTCGATCGGTGTCGCGTGCGTCTCGTGTGTTCCTATTAACCTACCAAGAACAAGAATGGCTTCACGGGAACCAATTGGATAAATCTGTTGGATGCTGAAGAAGTTCCATTAAATTGCCTTGGCATTTGCATGCATTACATGACATTCACACGAGTGCCATAACTAAGTAGAGAGGCTGCTGCGTTAGTCTAGCATGCCATAAAATATATTTAACTCTGTCCTAATTATTCATTACGACTAAGCCTAAACATACAGTATCAAACGACGGGATACCTATGCTTATTTTCTTTAGTTCTTCCACCGAAAATTCATGAGACACGTCATTAAAATCTTCTAAATAAGGTATTGGAGCACGCACACGTATACCCGGAACTGCGATCAGGCAACAACTGGCAGCCGTGGCGGGAGTTGAGAGCTAGCAGGACGCGGTTGCTCTCTAGCTGCTGCCGCCTCTGAACGTTACCAAGAAGACGGTCATGCCTGATGCCGCGTCATGGCTACGGAATTTGGGGCTGCATCAGGAACGTATTCACAATTGATGCAATTTTGAGAGACTAGTAACAGTGTGCTTGGGGCTGGGTCAGAAACGTGTTCACACTTGATGCAATATTGAGATTTGAGAGAACGGTGACAGTGTGCTTGGGGCTGGATCAGAACCGTGTTCACACTTCATGTAATATTGAGAGAACAGTAACAGTGTATAGATGAACTAAGATGCGAGTAGAGATTTTGTCAGGGGATTGCTGTCCTAAAACCGGTCAAGTTATGCTCTATAAACACATCTCACAAAATCAATAAGAAAAAAACGTTTTGAGAATAAAACTCGAAAAACGGAACACTAGCAAACGGTGGTAGGAATCAATTTGAATTGTTAAATAACTCAAAAAATTTCTCGCTAAACGAACATGATTTTCTGTCGATTAGCAATAAAATTCACTTTGAAAAGTAGTTCAACAATTAGATGAGATTTGTTCGAAGCTTTCATCTGAGGAAATTCCATATAAATGCTCTCATCTCGATCATGAGGCCAACAGAGTGTATTCGCTGGAGTGCATCCTCAATTGCGGTAAATTTAATTTCTAGGAATGGTTTTCGATCATGAAGATACGATACAAAAAAACTCTGATTCAGTTTCAGAAGTTGATGCAGATAAGATTTGTGAAAATATGGTATAATAATCATAAGGAAATAATAAATAAGCTAATACGACTTTAGAAAACCATAGACCCTGATAACTGCTGCGGTAGCAAGGCTCTCCTTCCTGAGACGTGACGCGATTGGTTGGCTGGAGGGGTTGGTGACGTTATGTGGCGCGTATACCTGTTGCTGGCTGCCATGATTCATGCTCTGACGCAGCGGTTGTGACATCACTCAGTTCTAAGGAAACTGCAGCTCGGTTGAATAAGAGAAAACAAACACGCGCACCGCAGTTGTTGCAGCCGATCGACTTATAAACAAGGTGATGCTATCGACGGAGGAATGAGTAAGACTCATTTTAGGTTCACGGGAATTACATGAGATTGGTCAACAAAGGACAAAATAAAAGCCGTTAATGTATTTATACGTTACCGATAAAATGACATCATACGATACATTAAAGTTTGCCGAGCATTTGCGGTCCTTAAAGTGTCTGCGGTACAGGATTTGAAAACAAAATGTACGAGTGCTGCACTGTATAATTTACGTTTAATTGATAGACGATAGTTAATAATTAGGCTATGTTCAAGAAAACACTCCGACTAATCAGTTTGCTCATACATGATTCGCGCAAAGGAAGTTTTGTGTCGTATAATATTGGTTTGTAAGCAATACAATATCGTAAATACCAGTTTTTATTGAGGTATGCTGTAAAAAATAAAATTGGACTTGTTTGATGACATTGGGACTACGATTGATTTTTTGCTACACATTTGCATAGATTAGCTTTTTAATGTCACATTTACATGAAGAAACATATGTTGCTGCGTGGATGCAAAGAAGTAGCCGGATGCGCTGTACATTTTATGTACGATGGACATTAAATAGTAAAGCTCGCAATGAAATATTGAAATGAGAGGTCGTTCAGATTATTATCAAATTATTTTCAAAGCCATTGGCGAAATTACGAGACTATTGAGTAAAAAGCAAAAGAAGCGTCGTTAAAAGGAGCAAGCATGCGTATTCAGAATCGAGTTGCGGGGAAATATAAATCCATTTAAAATCATTTCAAAATATCATACACAATGTATACTTGTTATTCATATTTAAGCATGATACGAAAATGTGCACGCATATGTTCATATGTATAAGGATATAATGGAATAAATAAAATGTTTGGAGTCGGTTGGTGAGAGTTAATTAACACTATCAAAAAGTTAATGTATATGGAAGTACAAATAGTGAATATAAGGTAGATATGCGATGGAAAAGAGTATCTCTGTTTATATTAATTCTAAATTACTTCAATAAAATAATTACTGACGGGTAAATTTCAGAGGCGACAAAGCTAGCGGAAATTTGTCGAGATTTACGCATCGGCAGTATATAAGCCACCAACACGAGCAGTAAAAGGTTAACTACCCAAGTTAACGTAACACATTTAATTACACAGGCAATACGAGCAATGGCAGTAAGCCATCAACAAGAGCAGTAAAAGGTTATCTACTCAAACGAACGTAACACATTTAATTACACAGGCAATACGAGCAATGGCAGTAAGCCATCAACAAGAGCAGTAAAAGGTTATCTACTCAAACGAACGTAACACATTTAATTACACAGGCAATACGAGCAATGGCAGTAAGCCATCTACACGAGCAGTAAAAGGTTATCTACTCAAACGAACGTAACATATTTAATTACACAGGCAATACGAGCAATGACAGTAAGCCATCAACAAGAGCAGTAAAAGGTTATCTACTCAAACGAACATAACACATTCAATTACGTGCACAGGCAATATAAGCATTGAGCCACGAGTATGCATAGTACCTGCACCGCCTGTCTAGGAATGGTTGCGAAACTTGGTGCTGCATCGCTTTTAGATTCTGGAGAACGAATCTGCAACAAATGACAGAATTAAGAAGTTTACACAATAATTTTTTTGGGGGAAAAATCGCATTGTGCACAACAGTTTGTACAGTTCAGCAATCGATTGGAGGAGAAGCACAGTAAAGAAATGTATTACTGTTTCTGGGGTGCATGTTCACTATCATGCAAGTCTTCGGCGATTTGACAGTTTCAAAATATTGTCAAATAGAGATAAGATAAATCATCAACATTGCCGAATTCATTACGAACAAATTGCTGCTTGATAATAATCAACAGTGCTTTGGTGCCGTATTGTTGCGGAAAAAAAGTTTTGACCTCCCAGGTAGCAATCTTATGGAAATGTCCAAGATGACTATCCAAATTTTATCTTATCGGCAAACTATTCGAGGAAAAACAATAATCAAAAATACAAATTATAATTTATCTGACATTAAGATTATCACTAATGGATAAATTATTTGATCTGTACCAAGAAAAAAAGGTTACAAATGAGCATATATAGTCTGAGTCTCAAAAGATTGAAGCGGATGAAAAATATACAAAATTTACTTTTGAAGCAGCTGGCAGAGGACAATACGACACCAAAGCCTCATCATCAGAGCTGGGCAGCGCTACTTTGAAATGTAGCGGCGCTACCGCTACCGCTACATGCTCTAAATGTAGCGGGCGCTACCGCTACCGCTAAACCCACTATATAGTAGCGAGCGCTGTCGCTACCGCTACAGTAAAATGTAGCGCCGCTACATTAGCCGCTACAATGGCCAAAATTATTGGAAATCCATAAATATTTATTCTGCTATTGGGATTAACTCATAAACATTTAATGATAATAAAACATTTTCAAAACATATCACTGCAACTTTATTGCAATTAACCTAACCGAACTAGTACGGGTTAGATACTGTAAATAAAAGTTAGTTATTTTTATGTTTTACCTTCCCTACATAGATTTCTACTTAAATCTACCAATCTCAAAAATTATCCACACATACATATAAAAAATCAGTCTTTTATTTGTATATATATGTGAATTATTTTGAGATTGGTAGATTAAAGTAGACATCCATGTAGGGAAGGTGAAACATAAAAATAACTGTGTAAAAATAACTGTAAGCAAACTAAAAAATGAAAAAATACCTGTAAGTGGTAACTGGTAACAACTTAACAAGTAACAACTAACGTGTTGACACTAGTAACAGGCTGAGGTTGACAACATTACACCGAAATCTTTCGTACAGATATATTCTGTAATTTATATTATGTATGTATCATGCTGATTTTTAAATAATATTTGATACTATTAAGTAAAATCTAACGGCTTTATCTATAAATGTAGCGGTAGCGCTGTAGCGGCAAAACCTCGTATCGCTACTTAAATATGTAGCGGGCGTTACCGCTACCGCTACATGTAGCGCGCTACTGCCCACCTCTGCTCATCATCATGCCAATAGTGGATGAAACAGCCCACAGTTGGCCAAAAATATTAAGCCTCAGGTCATGACTTCTTGTTTGAAACTTGAATACTCGGCATTTTCTTTGGAAAACAGCGAGCCCAAACACGCAATTTCACGATGGATTTCTAAAAATCGCGGGCGGGTGAAAAATTTTGTTTTGTCTTTGTGATAGTTGAGAGTTTGGGACAATTTCAGCTCAACTAATAGTAGAAGATGTAAAATTTTCTAGCCATGTAGTATAATTTAGTAGTAGAATTCTCCAGCAATGATAAACACAGCTTGATATTTTACATGGTATAACTTATAAATAAATAGTAAACATCCCACAACCTCAACACGAGCTAAATCTACATATTAGCGCCTGTTCACGAATTTCACTTTATTAACTGCCTTCACACTTGATGCGTCAAAAATATACGACACCATGCATCAAAGTATATATGCATATATATGCATCAAAGTATATATAGAGGCAACTAGATATTTCGAGGACGCTGGAACCGCATAGAAAACCGTCTACGACAATGTCCTACGGGTGACACACGAATGGATCGACACTCCTTCAATCAAATTAACGGCTTAATCTTTTTAACAATTGATTTTATGGTATAGATAATTTTGATTGATCTTTTATTATTCCTTATTAGACGATTTGTTAATAATTTGGACTAGGGCAATGGTCAGTCCAATTGAGTTTTCTACTAACTGCGATACCTTTTGAAACAGAAAATTTGAGCTGATAGGGGGTCCTGTTTTGAACTTTGTAGATTTCAAGTTGATAATTCAAAAGAAGTTTTGAAGAACAGGCCAAAGTCACTAAAGTTTGGACTAAAAAAATTTAGGTTTCATCTGCTCACATTTGTAGGCAACTTTTAAAATTTCTCATTAAAAAAGCCTATCAATTGTTGAATAATAATTGACAATAATATGTGCTGAAAAATAAGTAAATTTCGTCTTACGCAAGGACTTTATCTGATCTCCGTTGGACACTTTGACTTTTCGAGTGAAGTTGAACAGAGAAAAAATTATGTTGGACGTTCCGTAACTGACTCATAATAGGAAATCTAAACGGAGAAGAAATCATTTTAAATTTGTTTTATCACATTTCAAGTTGGACTATTTTTATTGATAATCCAAGGTTTAATTTAAGAGCGATTTATTTTCATTCTGAAATAGTAATTTTATTCTTAGCATCGTCTAAGGGAAAAAATGTAATGTCGTCACACAGAAATATCAACTGCATGCGCTATTGCTCGATTATCATATATTTTTTAAGTGATCGATTATATTTTCTTCCCTTTTCCGCATTTCCCCAATGATTTAGACTATTTATTCATAATTTGAGCATTTATGTTGTATAAATTCTTATTTAGCATTGCCGTTCATTTAAAACAATTTCAAAAATGACCAATGCCAAAAATACAATCAACCTTAATCATAATCATATATACTTACGATGTTATTCAATATTTATACGCCCTATACCAGCACCACTGTGCATTCGTTGATATAATGAACAAATATTCTCGACTACCCACATGGAAGCCTTGCTCGAGCTAGTGAAATATAATCTAACAATTCAGCGATCAAAATCTAGCGATGACACACAACGAAGCTTCAAAAGATGCGAGCAGTTATGATCTGATGCAAGTATTATTAAAATGATGGAACTATCATTGCTGTAAGCATGAGCAATAGATCACGGCAGTCGGAGGGCGGAGTGACCAGTCCATATAGAATAAACTCATCGCCCGGGTTACTGGAAGATCGGACCACGTCGCTGGAGATGATACTTGTGTTTTCCGTTCACTTGTAATATAAATTTATATTCAATAATTATATGCAGTAACGCACTCATCATTCACTGGAGGTTTGAATTTCAACAATGCTGTTGAGAAGAGTAGCAAAGCTGAGTTTATGTGTAGAGAATGCTGGTCTCTCTGTAATTTAGATCTTGAGTGGACATTTTTTGTTTTTCCCGACTGAAAAATTTACAAGTCAAATCTTGCTGTGCTGCATCGCGACCTTGTACAGTGTATGGCATGAGAATTTTTCTGCAGGAACTCTGATCATTTAACATATTCATTTACGAGTTGGTTTACACGAGTAATACCTGGTGTAAATACAAAATTTCATCCATATTCAGATAGGCTTTTTATGCCCACCGAAGTTCATCCCTTTGCTTTGCATACACATTTACTGTATGCAAAATGCACTCAGATTTCTGCCTTCAATTTCAGTCATTCTTTTGTCAATCATCGTTCACAGAAGCGATACAGAGAAAAGCATATCAGCAACAGCTAAGGGATATGCATTGGAATATCACTGTGATGAGATTCATGTGAAATTGTAGGCGCAAGACAAATGGCGCAAACGGGAAGTTCATAAGGCCAAGAGGCCCACAGGTACAACAAGAGGCACTCGGGCACAGCAAGAGGCACTCGGGCACAGCAAGAGGCACTCGGGCACAGCAAGAGGCACACAGGTACAGCATGAGGCACTCGGGTACAGCAAGAGGCACTCGGGTACAGCAAGAGGCACTCGGGTACAGCAAGAGGCACTCGGGTACAGCAAGAGGCACACGGGTACAGCAAGAGGCACTCGGGTACAGCAAGAGGCACTCAGGCACAGCAAGAGGCACACAGGCACAGCAAGAGGAGGCGCATGGGGCGCTGGTATAGACCAGGTGCCGCCCTAAGGAGTGCATCTCCTAACACAGTCACCGACTCACCGGCGTTCGTATGAATGTCGGGTTGTCATCACACGCCTTCACAACATTACAACCAACCAAGCCTCGGACGCCTTCGTCTGATATGCTGAAAAGTAATTAGGCTCTACAAATGGACAGTTTTAGTGCAAGGTTGAAAGACCTGCGTCATCCAAAAAGTAGTTCCACTACACGGAAAGTTTAAGGAACATCGGCATAGAAGTAACGATGATTATAAAGCGTTACTTTAGCCAATGGCAGGCATGGTGCAGCTCATTGAGATTTTCAGATGAAACTATGAGAAAGTTAAGAGAAGGAAGAAATGATGAACCTCAAAGTTGCAGTTTCATCAGCCCAAAATATACCTTACAGAGATGAATAATCATGGAAAAGTATTTTTTCGACGGCAGCCAAAGGCCGACGCCGGAGGTACTCTGCAAGCAGACAGGCAGGCTGGCTGGAGTAGCCAACCTTGCTCTTCTGCCCACGCACGGCCGTACAGACGCGCTCTTGCTCACAGCTCGAGGACGCGCCTCATTCACTCCAATGGAAGTTTAAATATAATTTACCTTAAAATAAAGGTAGTTGAGATAGCAGGTAAATGCAGTTCAGTTTTAAATTTTCTGCTAGCTAAGACATTGGTTAAAACAGAGGTGGTAATGCTATATCGGCTACGTATTCGACATTTACGGATGGGAAAGAGCTCATCACTGTATATGCAATACAGGGCAGTTGCAGTAGTAGCTACATTTATCATCTGAAATGAGAGCTAAATGAACAAATTTGCCCAAAATGAATTTAAGGGTTTCGCACACTAACGTTACATAGCAGATACCCGAGTTCATTAA